TAATGGTAACAGACACCTAACTAAGAAAATTGCCTAAGCGGCATCGCTCTGTTGATAGCAAATTAGTAGATGCTACGATTTACGTGGTTTTATTTTAAAACTTATAACATCACTGAAGAGGTAAATCACTTTATGCTCTTTCAGAGGTGCAGAATATGTTTCTGCAAGAGAATGGATGAGGATCTGCTTTGAACTGCTTGAATTATTAAAAGCTCACAAGAAAGCTATCCGAAGAGCCACAGTGAACACTTTTGGTTATATTGCGAAAGCTATTGGGTAAGTTGGTTCAGTGCTTATCCACAGTTACCTGACATGGTGATGATTGTGAGTTTTCTGGTGAGAAATACTGAAATGTCTCTACGTTTAACATGTTAAATGTGTAGGCTTGATTTTATTCAGTTTTTGTAGATGGATAATATAGTTACCTATTCTTATTAACATAGGATGCTGCACTTTTGAAGTAAATTTGTACACTAGCAAGGTTAGAGTATAGTTTGGTAGTAATAGCTGCTTGTCTCAGGAATTTCTGACACTGTGATATGCATTGAGATTCTCTCTGTATTCTTCCATAAAATCTCCTTTAAATATTCAAGGTCTCTTCTCTTATTTTTCCCCAAATCAGTACTTTTATTGATTTGCAAACAATTTTTTTGCCGCTAAGGTGATAGTGCCAGTCAGCAAGTTGTAGAATGAAGCATAATTCGCATCTTCATGCATGGTCTTAAATGAGTCACCAGTTACTGACTGAACTCAGATACAGCAAGCAACCAAGGAATGCCATAACCACGCTTATCTATATAGGACATTGCCTATCTCTGTCAACACGTATGGTTTTGTACAAGTTTAAAATTACCTGTGGGATCAGAGTGGGGAGGCTACTCCTATCCTCCAGAGTTTAGAAGAGGCAAAAGGCAGGAAAAAATCTAAGTCTAGAGAAAGTAAAAAATGTTGGTTATCAAAATAAGATCATGCAGTTGCTTAAACTGTTTTACAGTTTCATGGTTTACGTTGTTTCCCAGTTACCTTAACTTTTTTTAAGGGCTAAGCCATGCTTTTCTGCCACTTACTGTTTGAAACTCAGCTAAAATCCTCATTGAATCTATTGACACGGACATTGATGTTATCTCTTCCAGGCCTCACGATGTATTGGCTACACTGCTAAATAACTTGAAAGTACAGGAAAGGCAGAACAGAGTATGTACTACAGTAGCGATTGCCATCGTAGCTGAAACATGCTCACCTTTCACAGTGCTGCCTGCACTCATGAATGAATACAGAGTTCCAGAACTGAATGTCCAGAATGGTGTGTTAAAATCTCTTTCTTTCCTGTTTGAGTATATTGGAGAGATGGGAAAAGATTATATTTATGCTGTTACACCATTGCTTGAAGATGCTTTAATGGACAGGTGAGTGCACTTCTATCTATGGTACCGCCATACATTTTAAGTATATAGCAGGGTCTTATTGGTAGCAAATATGCATATTGTCCTTGTTTGCTGAAGGTGTTAAGTGACCAGCATAATGTGGAAGCCACTGTCTGCAAATGATTCAGATTATACCCTCTTATTTTGTTAATGCTTTTGAAGATTAAAATGATGCAAGTGTCTTAAGTGAGTCAAGATTTTCTACATTCAAAGCGCTTTTGGTAATTTCTATTGTTAGTACCTTTGCGGTAGAATTAAAGCACAGTAATCTGTCAGAAAATTTTGTCTTTTTTTGATTTACTGATTTTTTTTTTGTTGTTACTCTGCCTCTTGCTGTCAGTAAACATGGGTTAAAAGTGTATATTAGTGCTTTCAAAAAAAGCCTTATTGAAAAGAAATACTATACTTGTCCAGTCGTGTTGTTTCCAAGTATAAATTATTAACAGACCATTGTTGTCTTTGCAGGGATCTCGTACACAGACAAACAGCCAGTGCCGTGGTGCAACATATGTCTCTTGGTGTTTATGGGTTTGGCTGTGAAGATTCTCTTAATCATTTGTTAAATTACGTCTGGCCTAATGTGTTTGAAACCTCTCCTCACGTCATTCAGGCAGTTATGGGGGCTCTGGAGGGCCTCAGAGTTGCTATTGGTCCCTGCAGAATGTTGCAGTATTGTTTACAGGTATGTCCTTGTGTATGCTGGAATAGCAAAGACAGCAATTATCAGGCAGGACTTCTCTCCAGGAGACAAAAAAGTCAACCAGAGATGATTTCCAGCAAAGGAAAACAGTGTGGCTTTTTGTCTTTTCAAAGTGTTTTTTCAACATGGCATTCTGTACCAAGGACTTCAATAATGGAGATATGCAATAATTTTGGTGTAGTGAGATAGCTGCTTACATTGAATAGCTTGTGTAGAAGTAGCAGGTAACTTAGAGTGTAAATTGGCTAAAATAACCTGGTGCTTTGACTCGTAAAATGGAAATATCTCACAGATTTGAGGACACAAAGTAGTGACTGGGGAATAAATTAATAGTGCAAGGGATTATGAGAACAAGTAACAAGTGAGATAAACGAGAGGATAGGCTTAATATTAAATTCACAGTGTTTGTCATTAGCCAAGAAAAACAGTAAGACATGTAAAACTGTTTGGGTGAAGTGCTAGAAAACAGTGCTTCGATCAGAATTCATACCACTACATCAACACTAGTCACTTCAGCTTCTGTAAATGTGTGTGGCGGTAACATCTGAAGGCTCCTTTTCTGTGTAATTGCACGTAACAGTTCTCGCTGCATTGGCTGTAGGATCTAAACTCATATAACAGGTGAGAAGCAAGGGTGAATGTGATGCAGATCCATGTAGAGAATATGTGACTGCATTTTATTAATTATTTGCAGATACAGAATTTCACTGTGGTGATGTTTTTTTTGAGGGGAGGGCCTCAGCACAAAGATGCTGACATCAGTAGGAAGGTGAAAGAAGTCTATTGCACAGTGTATTTTTTTTTGCAATTACTACTTGTATATTCTTATTATATAGAACTTTTTTCTAGAGCTTTCCCATTCTGCTTGGTTTTTTTAGGTTTAATAATAGTTTCTCATGTGTTCCTATCTAGCGCTCTCTGCACAAATCACAGTTAGCAGAGCCAAAGATAAGACTCAGTTCCAACCAAATATAATGCAGCATTTTATTTTAAGAGAATACAAAACTAGAAATACATTCAGTGGAATTTCTCCTTGCAGAAAAAAGATAAGAAAATCTATCTCTAAGTAGTACTTTGTTACTACTTGCTAGTCACAAAAAGTGGGAATGACATGTTTAGTGTACCTTCTTTGTTGTAGTAGTGTTAGTTACTATACTTTTTTAAATGCTTATTGTGCAGAACTTGATTAAAATCAGTAACAGACATTTAGACCTGAAGCTTTTAATAAATTTTGTTCTGTTCTGTTTTCTAGGGTTTGTTTCACCCTGCCAGGAAAGTCAGAGATGTTTATTGGAAGATTTACAATTCAATCTACATCGGATCACAGGATGCTCTGATAGCACATTATCCAAGAATCTATAACGATGAAAAGAACACCTATATTCGTTATGAACTTGATTACATCTTATAATCTTCTTGTTCAGTTGTTTGTGTTTATTGCACAGCTGTTGTTCAATTAAACGCTTCAGATTTGATGATGTAAAATTTTAAAATATTGGAGATCAGTATAGAGCTGGTCAGAGGCAGAGCTAGAAATCCAGTAGCATGATTTTTTAAATATGTCCTTGTTTTTTGATGTTAAACAGTTAAAGCCAGTAGTGACCAAGAAAACAGTGATTACAATGTACTGGAGGGATTTCATTTTGGATTCATCTTTATGAAGATTTAGATTTCATTCCTTGTGTTTAAAGGGGAAGTTTATTTGAGAAATAAACATTTGTGTATAAAAACTAATTTGTGTGTGGTTTTTGGACAGAGGGTCTTGTAAAATGAGTCCCTTTGAATTAAGTATTTGTTCATGTAATAAATAGGTGGCATAAAACATTTTAACCCTTTTGTCATCCCTTAGCTTTTGAATAAATAAGAAAAACGTACAAACTGTAGTTAACGTGTGTATCTTTGTTTCGCAATAACGTAGCTGTAGTCTGGCTGATGATTGTAGTAGTGGCAGTTTATTTGCATGGAAAAAGTAGTGTTTAATTGCTTCTTACTGCTGCGTCTGCAGTGTCATGGTTGTGGGGATGGATTAGCTTGTTAAATTTTCAGAAGTTAAGCAGTCTGTTTTAAACAGTATGTGTAAAATCAGTTGCGCAAATTATGCATACGAATCACGCTTGGCATGTCTTTTAGCATGTATGGCTGTATGAAAAGCCAAATAACGTTTATAGGCCATGCTATAATGCCTATAAAGAGCTAGGAAAGTAATGTCCCCAGCACCTGAGATGGGGTAGTTTCTAAGTGTGTGTATGACATAGGAAATGCTTCAGCTCAAGATAAAAAACATTTTATTTCCTCATTTGCTTTTTTCCTCCTATGCATGTACTAAAAAGGTAGTCTTGATATCTGAGAGTAAACCACAAAAAACACAAGGTTAAATCATTTATATCATTCTGGTAGTATTCATAGAATCACAGAATGGTTTGGGTTGGAAGGGACCTTAAAGATCATCTAGTTCCAGCCCCCCTGCCATGGGCAGGGACACCCTTCACTACACCAGGTTGCCCAAAGCCTCAGTGTTTGTAAGGTGAAACAAGGTAGTAGTTAGCGCTCAGGCGTGGTGTTGTGAGAGTCCTTGATGCAAGATGAGTGATGAAGTTCCATCTTACCAAGTTCAGTGCAATGTTGTTAGCTGACTTCTTGCCACTGTTGTGCTTAAGGGAGTTTCTTCAGCTGTTCAGCATATCAGAAAATTCCACCCTACCTTTTAAGGCCTGAGTTTTTGTTCAGGGCTTGGAGTGGCACAACAACAACTTCGGACTCTTGTTTCTGAAGGTACTAATATTTAGGAACTGAAAAAAGCTACTTTTTTCAGCAGCATGCATTATTCTAAAATTTATTCAGTGAAAACAACTGGAACACCTTCAAGTCTTTACTGCTGAACTGTTCCGTTAGACAGTAACGTGCATTCTAGTCTATTTCTAGTGCTTTCTCATTTAATAATACTGTTTGTATTACAGATAGCCTGCCATCTTCATTTCTTCACTACTTCTGCAAGATAGGACCAAGCAAGTGCCAGTAGAGAGGGTGAAGGGCTGAAAAAAAAAGTTTTGAGAAGCTAGCCAAAAAAGAACTCTGAAACAGGTAGGAATGGGTGATGGCTCATGACCCCTAGATGCATCTTAGCGAAACAGTTATTTTATAAACAAGTCAAATTGTAAATATTTTTTGAGTAAGATGAAGGGGAACAACTTCAGTTTGTTCTTATTTTTGTGTCTTTGAAACTCATCACTTCAGTTCTCGCAGAGCTTTTCATAAATGTTTTTGAGGAAGATTCAAATGTATGTTTTTTTCCTGAAAAAAAAGGAAAGCGGAAGGAGATCTGTTTGAGATAGAATTGTTCATAAAACCGTGATTATCTTTGTGTTTTTTGCCATCCCGTATGAAATTGGGTTTGAAACAGCAGGACTGAAGTGCAGTTCTTTATACAGTGTCATCACTAGGCCTTTTTTTCTTCCTGAGACTTTTGTGGGTCTGTGGAACTCTTCCCTAAAAAGGCCATCTCTGGGTCATACACTGATACGACTTTCTAGGAGCCTGCAGTAGCCTTTAAAGAATTTTGCCTACGTTCTTTGGCAACCATAATGAGTTTTATTTAGCATGGGCAGGTTAAGAGTGTCAGTATCAAAGAATGCTGACTTGCATTTTTGTTCTGTCCACAGTAAAAGGTTTTGGGGAAGGCAGTAAAGTAATTCTCTAGATACACTAGTATCACATCCATCTGTAGACAAACATATTTCTTTTCCAGTACAAATTAAAATCAATAATGGATGGGAAAGTTTTACTCTGAGGCTGTGGCTGGTGCTCAGAGTTCTGATTTCTGATTCCGGACAGTGAAGGGCGAAGTGTTAAAGTGAATGGAAAGATTAGGTCACTGCTATTTAAATTCCATTAGTCAATAATTAATTGTGCCATTAATACAGAAAAATATACTGTGCTAAGTGAACAAAAGATTTTCTTCTGTGTTTTTGCTGCTTGTTTATAAAATGGAAGATGTGCCATGGGTGGGCAACTGAGAAGTTTACCTTGCTACAGAATTACTGTGTGGTGTCTGGTAAATACAGGTACAAGCATAAAATCTGAATGTCCAGAGAGTCTCTCATCTTCTTTATTTAGGTTTCTCTGTAAAGGGAACCAAGTGTTCCTTCCCAGCTCCCTGCACCCTTCTGGATTCACATACAGCTCCTACCTTTATCAGTGAATTGCAAAAGAAACTCTATGGAGAAAAGCCTCACTGACAGCCCCGAATCTTTCATGCAGTATATGGAATGAGGTGGAGGAAAGGAAGGAAAAAAAGTATGTGATTTATATATATATTTTTAAAATCAATTACAATGATGCATTTGGAAAGGGGCAGTGAATTAAGAGATCGTAAGTCATACTGCAATAAGCAATACTGCCTTGGGCTTTTCCTAGTTTAGAGTATTTGATTTTACAAGTTAATGTGGTTCTTGATTGTAACTGAATTTTTTTTAATTTATTTGTCCTTTTTAATGGAAAAAAGGATGCAGCATTTATATATACCTACATTTCCTTACAGTCTAAACTTCTCCATCAAAGCATGCCCCTTTATAGCCTGGGGCTAAAATTAGCCAAGGCCAGCAGTTATCCTTAAGGTATGCTAATCTTAAAAGATTGGGAGAATTTTTTCGTGTGTTTTTTGTCTAAGCTACTTTCTGAGAACAGCGAAAGATAATGATCTAATATTTCCTTTTGTGTTCACTTGTAGTTGGATTTTCTTGCTTCTATACCTGCCTGTTTGTTGCACTTGCAGCTGCAGCAGTTCCTGGATGCATGAGTAAATTAGTCACTGCTGGAAAATTCTCACTCCGCTTCTGCCGCACAGGCTGGAGCATGCCAGATTCAGGGGGAGCTCTTGAAGAATATAGCTGCCAAACTCTAAATTGTTTTGGAAAAAACTAGGGAGTACAGTGTGCATGTATATCTACACTGGCTAGATTGGTACCGGTCGTCCTTGCCCAGCCTGAGCTACATGGGCTGCTCCTCTGCCAAGTAAAGTGAAGATGGAGCCTGTTCAGTGGCTTTTTACTTTAAATTTCTTGATCTTATAGCAGAGCCATTGTAGGAGTCAGATGGAGCTTGTCAAGACGAAGAAATAGTGAAATGCTTGATATTCTGTGATGCTGTTTTGTGTGTACCTCTGCAGGGAACACTGGAAAGCTTATTCCAAAGCACAGCAGAACTAAAAGGCTGAGTTCCTGCTTGAGGCAGAGTTGAGGAGTTTAAGTAAATTAGCGTTTGCAAATAACCCTGAAATGCATTGGCCATTGTCATTACATTCATAAGGTATATTTTAATTTACCTTTTTCTTCAGAGACCCTGAAATTCTTTAAGGAGTAGCAGTTTTTTCATAACAGAAGTTTGATATCCAGCATAAGGTTTTAGGTTTTTCTGACAGAGTTTCAAAGAGTTCAGCAAATACGGATGCTAAGATTTTTAAGTAAAATTGTACACAAGTCCTTAAAAATTAGCCAAACAGGCCTCCAACGTTTTGTTCTTGTCAGTGAAGGCTGCTCTCTGAAAACTGGTTCATTACGAAGTGACTTCTAACATGTTAAGAAAGGTTGGAGCTTGGTATGGTGGTAATAAACAGAATGGGCTTAACAATACATGCCAGGAAACCTTAAAAATGTTTGTTATCACTGTGGCATACGTTGTGTTCACTAGCTTTACAGAGAAACCAAACCAGAGTGTTTTCCTTACCAATTTTACCTCCATGTGACTTCCAGGATTACGTGGTACAAGTATTTTCTGGTTTACTTTTCACAAATTTGTCCCTTAAGGAGGTCACTTTGTTAAACCTTCTGGTGCAATGGCTGTTGTGAAATCAAGTTTCAGACAGCGTTGCATCACACTGATTATTCTCATACACATTTTTTTCCAAGCTAAGTGGCGTATTTTCACCTCTATTTAAGCTGCTGTAACAAATATCTTCATTACTAATAGACTGGGGTGGGATGGGAAACAGGTTTTAAATTTGTGGTTCTTCGTTAATGTGGGAAGTGTTGATGTGTGAGTAAAGCGATTGCCTGTTATTTAATGTGCATCTGTGAACCAACTGCAGAATCTCGCTCTTTGCCAGTTGATTAAAAAGGAAAGAGGTAAATGTGACTCTCTAAGTCTGTACATCCATGTGATGCCGCATGCTGGAGAGCCTCGAGTCTCACCAGTAGTAGCTGAAAGAGGTTTCTGCTGCCCCTGGCCTCCAGTGCTGGCTTTCCCTCTGGCCTATGTGGTTTAAACTGCAGCCTTCCCTGTGCTTCCCTCCCAGCTGTAGCCCTTGAAACAGTGGTGGGCTGATCTGGGAGTTGTCCAGGCCTCCCAGCAGCCTGGTTAAGAGATCAGCACACCACTGAGTGAGGAGTGCCTCTTCCTTACCCAGTGATGCAAAGTCACACCTAGTGCAAGCCCCAGACCAAATGTTCTAGAAGTTACGAGTAAGCTGTTTTATTTGCAAGCAAAACAGCAACACGTTTTATGATTTGTGAATAAATGAGAGAGTAAAGGAATGGACTTGATCTGCTTATCCCAAGACTGTATCTGGTGACTCTCAAGTGAGTTACTGTGTTCCTTCTTCATAGTGATCGTAATTAGAGTTTCAGGTTTTCTGAAAGCTTGCTTTCTTGAGGAAAAGAGATTGTTTTGTTTGTTAGTTTCCTTGTTTTTAAGATCTTCTCTAGGGTCTGCATCCATTTGTTTCTTCACTCAGAATCTCCTGCTCCTTTCACAAGTAGGAGACAGTCTGGTCACCTTTGTATCTCAGTGTTCCTTTCCATTGATAGATAAATATTTCTTTGCTTTATTACCAATCGTCTTCTGCACTGAGCTGGCTAATAAACTGGTTCAGTGAGCTGTACAAGTTACT